TTAACGTCTAACGTTTATACTTTATCCTTTTTGTTACTGCCAGGATTCTGTGCTTTCCGCATCACACTCAAGCTATTTCACTTACTGAGGAAACCCTAGAACCAATGAAACAGCAAATAGCAATCCTACATGTTCAGGTATTTACTTCAAGGAGAACAGCGCCGATCCATGTGAGCATCAAGTCGACGCTGGGCAAAGAGACACACGTAGAGCAAGCGAGGCATGCCGATCATTATTTCACAATGCTGCAAAGGGACCTCAAATGAAATGAATTACAGACCAAATGAAATGAATTACAATCTCGATAGAAATAAGAGATGGCTTGTCATTCCAGCATTCTAAGTGTTTGTCACTTATCGTGGTGTAGATAAATAATTAAATAAACAAGAAATAATCTGTGATATTTGGCATTAAGGCATTTGAATGCTTCAGCTGACCCAAAGACATTCGTGAATCTGCTAATGATCGAGTTTCTCTTTCAGATCTCTTTGTCCGGTAAATGTAAGCTTTCCGGTGACTATCTGTGAGGTCCAATAACGAGTTCAATAACAAAAGTCTTGCTGAGCCCCAATTCTGTTCGCGCGCATATGATATAACTGAAGCAAGCCAAGCCTTGAAGGAAGCATCCAAGGAAAAGTCATGATTTAATCAGACCCATGAGTAACTGGCTAGAAACCCTCCGTTAACGACAAGAACGAGAAGGACAGAAAAAAAGCTTGCGTTCCGGTGAACAACTCGAAAAAATGGAAGGACTGGTGCGCGTTCAAACTTTTAGGGTAGATAAGTGGCAAATGTGGTTCAGTGGTTACTAATTATATCTAACCAAAGAGGAAAAAACCCTTCTATGTAGAAGCAGCACTTCTTTTCACTGCTCCTCCTCAGATACTGCACAATGTGACACACAATCAAATTGAAGAAAAATGCCCCAAACATGATGTTGGAATATACGAAGGTGTGAAAAAGCAGCCAGAGAATCGTCTTCTGGCAGAAAATGAGGTTCATATGTCGAAACTGCACTTATGCTGGAGCTTCTTCAAGAGAGAAGGCCTTTTGTGCTCTCAAAGCGGTTCTCTGCATAATGAGGTACATGCGTGCAGCAGTGAACAACTCTGTTTTTGCAATCCTTATAGCTTCAATGTGTGTATATCATTCACAGCACTGACACTGATAGTTGCCCATTTGAATGTTTGGTGAGCTGGCCATTGAATACATACGAAATTCGTTCAGAGATTTAGAGTTATTCTTTATGAAGAAAGGACTAAGGTTCTTTTTTTTCATGTTAGCAGACTTTCGTCCCACAGGATGCTGCAGTTGATGAAAAAGTCTTACGGCAAAACATCGCTCAGATATCTCTGAAGGAAATCTTCACGGAAAAATCATGAATCTATTTCAGCAGCCGCGACTGTAATTTCACCAGGTAATCTCCCCTCAGTGACGTTTTTTTACCAACTTTGAAGGCTCATAACTTTCTTAGGAA